AGTTGGGGCGGTCGTAGACCATGAAGCAGCCGCTCTCCACCCTGGCAGAGTGACACCTGCTCAGGACGGAGGACATGTCAGAGCAGTCGCTGGTGGTCTCATAGGAACGACCCTGGAAGTTCCTGTCCTCGTAGAAGATGATCTGAAACGGAGCAAAATGTGATGAGGGACAGACTCCAAAATAAACTGTATCCTGGATGATCAGTGGCAGATAGTTGCTGTGGTGCTTACCCTGCCCATGGTCATGGTTGCTGTGTTCGTTCTTCAGAGAACTGCTTTGCTGCTGCACTGATGGTGGTCCTGGTCTAACTGTAACTTTTATACCTGACTGAATCCAAAGAATCTGCGGCTCCCATTGTGTAAAGCCCTGACCCAGCAACATGGTATAGAGGCCTATAGAGTGCTGAGGGCATTTGTCACATTTCCATGTGACTGGATCCCCTAGAAGATTTTAGAATGGATTTTTCCATAGGGAAGTGAAAACAATTAGCATTTTTTGAAGGTACAATACAGTGCGGCAGACAATAGGCTCTTTTAAAAACATGCTGTATGGCCTCTGAGTGATCAGTGGACAATTTATAGACATCCTTTTGTGTGAAAACAATCGTCTGACATGCAAGTATACAATGAACATCTGTACGAGTACAACTTGTTTTTTCAACTGTTGTAAAATCACGTACTGTGTATGAAAAACATAAAGAAACTGTAAATATAATATAACAGCATTTTAAGTGTGAATTACAAGCAACTGCTTTATCAGATGTTGTGAAAGATGTTACAATTTCTGGGCCTTCATTTTACTTTCAGTTTTTTTCCCCCTTATAAATCAGGCGTTATATATAATACCAGTTTTTCCAAGACTCATAAATTATGAATTCATTTCATCTTCTTTCTGTTATGTACACTTTCATAACAGGTCTGTGATGTTGACCAAAGCATTTTCAAAAACAAAAAGTTGTGAGATCTTCCTTTTGTCAGCCTTTCCAAACACAAGAAACCTCTTTGGCCATTGTTTGTTTGTTTGTTTGTTTGTTTGTTTACGGTCTTGTTTCAGAAAGTGGCCACGGCTCCTCCTTCCAGATGACAACGAGGAAAAGTGGCCATGATTGGTTGGTGACTGATGTGTGAGATTGTATAATTTATGATTCTGTAATTAAGTCTGAAGTGGTGACTGTTTGATCAGACAGAAAATAGGATGTAGTCAGACTGGGCCGATGCATTACAATGATAGTGATGTGTACCAACGATCAATAGCATGAAATATTGTTTGATGAATGTTGACAGTTTCACTTCAGTGCATTGGATGCCAGTTGCCAAGAACGCACTTGATAAAGACACAAAGTTCAGTTCAGTTCAGTTCACTTCCAGTGTCCCCCCAAACCTCCAGATCAGTGCTGCACTCTGGTGACCTGCTCTGAAGGCTGATGGTGCTGATGCATGTTGAGGTTGATGCAGAGTTTCCTTCTTATGACACCTGGTCCAGACCAGACCAGACACTCTGGACCTGGACCTCAGCGCGGTTCAGCAGCTTCACCATGGTTGCCCTTTCATGCGCCCTTGAAAAACCCATTGCATCCTTTTT